AAGAATAGGCTTGGGTTTCGATTTGATTTTGATTTGAGGTGCCTAGATGTGGTTATAATATGATTCTTGCTGCATCTCAGTGCATCTCGATTTTTGATTTCCATAGCCTACATCAGAGGTCTTAAAATCCAGATCTCCAGTCTCTGGTCCCGTATTTTTAATCATAGTTACATATCGCTGCTGTTGGAACAAAACCTTGTATCTCCATTTTTGTCGTTTTTCAGTTTTTGGCATAATTAAAATGCCTATTGCCCTTTACTCTGTATGTAAATTTCATGATGAATGGACCAAAAGAAACTGCCCAAAATTACTTGGAAAGAAGTCTAATTCCTTTGACTTACATTGAAAGTGAAGTACGTTTTTTCCTTCTCCTGTAAAGTTACCATTTTGGAGATACGAGGTTTTCTTCCAACAACAGCTATATGACACTATGTGGCCAATCATTTACACCAGTAGTTCAGTTAACAACCAGTGAGTACAAAATTCAGGACCGGAAACTGTCCAGATTTGAAGACATCTGGCTTAAATCATGATTTTGTTCTGTTTTTGTCATTATCAGGGTACACTGCAGCTTAGATCTGCTTTCCATTCTTTTTTAACATTAACTCATATTATTAATATAATATGCCTTCTACGCTGTAGACTGGGATTCAGTCCCCACCTGGGTAAGCACCCTACACTATACCAATAAGAGTCCTTGGGCAAGACGTCTAACACTACTTTGCCTACCTATGTAAAATTGTAAGTCGCTCTGGATAAGAGCGTCTGCCAGATGCCGTAAATGCAAGTATTATATTTTAGTAGTATTTAAGTATGATATTTTCATAATTTTACAACTCATCTGAACCATTGGGACATTTGAAAGGAAAATGCTGAGCAGGCAAAAAAAAGTCAACATTTGTGCATCCAAAGTCTATTTGACTAAATAGAACGCCAAAGTGTAAACGTTGACACAAGGATCTTTTAAATTGCATTTTTAAAATAGGCTGTAGAGACTCTACGAGAGACTGTATTGTCCTACCCATATACTTCACCACCTAGTTTCAGTGCACAGTGTGGCACAAGTTAGCAAAGCTGCTGTCACACAGTTTCGCAATTTGTTTGCTCAGTACTTGGCGTGCTTTATGTTGTTTGTTGAATGAAACAGCTTTATTGATAGTTGTCCATAGATAAAGCTGTCTGTAAGTGCTGTGTTTCACGTAGCCTGTCAGTCGGACCCAGTGTTTTCACACAGTGTGAATATATAAATCGAAGGGTTTGTCTGTACATGATCGATATCGGCAAGTACTAAAAAACCTGTACTCTGACTTGGCCTGGAAAAAAAAGATGTTGATGAATCCGTATTTATCACAATTGTCCTACTCAGCCAGTCAGATGGTGCTGCCAGAAATAACTGCTGTATAAATGATGTTAAACCTTCTGTGCTTTGTTTTATTCATAACAATAAGAAATATTTGCTCACTGGGATGTTTGAATACTATTTGTTGAAAAATGCAAATATTTGAACAGCAAAAATAGTTCAAATGGAACTCACCCTGTTTTTACAAATAGAGAGAGAGAGAGGGAGGAGAGGGAAAGAGTTCTTATATTTGTTTCTTTCTGTTCAGGTGCACCTGTGAAGAGCCTCCCCTTCTGCTCATTCTCTTCCTCCTATAACACCCTTATGTTTTTTTCTCCCCATCTCATCCTTTCGTTCTCTCCCTTTCTCATTTATCTCTTTTCTCAAGTACATTCGAACCTCCATATATTCCCTCTCCACCCCTCTTGTCCCCTCTCTCCTCTCCACTTTTCCAACCTTCTGTGAGTATAATTAAGACTGCCTTTTAAGTCACATTAGCATGCTAATAGAGCATGAATGGTCACAATGTGTATGTATGTGCGTGGGGGGTCGTTGGGGGGGTGTTATGATGGCAAGAAAGTGCACATAAGCAATCAGATTGCTGCCATTCTGACGTGACAATATGAGCAGTACAGTGTGGATTTGCTATGTGTCTGTGTGAGGGGTGATGTAGAAAGCTTGTCTTATCAAAGCTGCAATGTATTTGATTAATGAACTGAGAAGTGTGTGTGCGTGCATGCATGTGTCCTCCCTGCTGGTAAATATTGCCAGAGAGTGAAAGGATTTTGAAACCCGCTTGGTAACACACACACCCACACACACACACACACACATACACACACACACCATCAGACAAAAACACCCCAGGCTCACTCTCTCTCTCCTATCTCTCTTTCTATTTTCTTTCCCTCTGCCATTCTTTCTTCCCCTCTTGGTGTGTCGTGTTCTTTTCTATGCTTTTCTCTTCATCTCTCCCACTACTTATATTCTCTGCATTCCTTTCTCTGTGTCTTTCGTTCTTTCTGTCTTTTCCTCGTCTCCTATCGCTTTCAATTCTGTTTTCATATGCTACTCTGATCCTTCCTCTCCCTGTATCTCTTATTTCTGTTTTCTCTTTTTCTGTCTGTCTTTCTATTCAAGGGGAATTCCACCAAGTTTAGCTTTCTACATAATTAAATCATTCAGAGGTGAACAAAGTCATTCTATGTGCTTTGATCCGAATGTCAATGTGCAACAATGTATTGATCTTTACAGTAGTGGTGAAAGGAATCAGGGGTTGCTTTGTCTACAAACCAATCTAGCCATGTTATTTCCTATCCCAAATGACCAGTGAACCTACATGACCAGTGAAACCTAATACTCAAAATTACTGTAGCCCCATGTCTCAGGCATCAGGTAGATTATTGGTCAGTATTTTGTGTAATAACTTTGTTATGTAGCTTGTAGAAGCATTAAGCACTTCAGGCGTCTGGTTCCTATCGACACTGCTTTGAACAATTCTGACTTGGTAAATTTCTCTAGAATTAAACATTTCAATACACTCTGAATTACTTACTTTACATCGTAACCATTTAATTATGCAGAAAAAAAATAATGGAATTTGGCTTCAAGGCTGCACAGTTTATCTTTTTTTATTATTATCACAGTATCAGCTTTCGCACTGCTGATGCAAATGAACTACAAATATGCAAATGAACCCTCTAACCAATCACAACTTATTATTGTGTGTTGTTGGCATCCTGTCTGATCACAGACAATCTGTAAGTGTTTGAGTTAATCAAACATTCATGTGACTCAACAAAAGCGAATCTTTTATTAATCCTTTTTTTTTTATTAATGTCCCATCAAGGATTAATATATATATTGATGTGTATTAATATAAAAGTAGTATATAATATGACAAAGTTTATTTTTATCACAATATGTAGCAGTGTTATCACAAAACAGTATTGTGTTCATATTGTGCAGCTCTACTTCCTCTGCCGTTCTTTCTCTGTCTTTCTCTTCATATGTACCTCTCTTTTATTCCCTCTTTGCCTCTGCAGCTCTCTTTCTCAGTGTCTCAGTGTCTCTCTTTGTAACTGTGTCTTTCTCTTCGTCTCTCTCTCTTGCCCTGTCTCTCAGGCTCCCTCAGGGAGCAGTTAGAGTGGCCGGTGATGTGTATAATGCATCTCTACACACAGTCCAGCTCTTTAACCTCAACAAAAAACCCAGCCGGTGTTCTCCCTTCATCCTATATCCATACTTCAAATAACAGCAACCCATATAAGCTTTCCACTGAACCACTCAGCAGAGCACTGTACATACTAAAGCACTTTTCATTTTATCAGAGGAGTGTAGTGTAATCTCTAAGGGATTTGACTGACCAATTTGTATGGCATGAAGTAATTTCCCCAAATTACCACAGTTAGGCCAGGTGAAAATTAGCCTGGATGATCACATGAATGTTACACAACAGCTGCAACACTCAATTACAATGACAGCATGGTGCATGTCCATGTTTATTACCAGGTTTTGATATTCCATTAGCTTGAGAGCAATTTTAACAGGACCACTGTTTCTAAAGGAACTCCAAATTACCGGAGGTCATTCACTGCAGAATTATTACGGTGAGACATATATAAATTACAGACATTAAAGATTCGTACAGGACTTAAATGGCAGGTCATTAATCTAGCTCAAAAAATGTTTTGTGTAGTCTGTGAAACAGAAAAAAACAGTTAATAAATCAAGTATAGCTGAAATCTTTCAAGAATTATTACACTCAAAGGGCTGATAATGTGCATGTAAGGCCACATACAGTGCATGAAGTTGAGCAGATACTTTAAATGTCAAGGATTGCCTGAAATATGTTATTTATGGCAGCTTTTATTTTTTGAACTGAAAAGACAAACATTTTGTGTGCATACAGGAGAGAGAGAGAGAGAGAGAGAGAGAGAGAGAGAGAGAGAGATGGAAGGCTCTTTGAAGAGGTGTGGGGGAGACTGTCGTGTATGCCACAGAACAGGATTGCTGACTCCAGTCTTATGCTAATGAAGAAGAGAGACAGAATGAGAGAAAGGCAGGAAGTGGCTTGGAGAGAGAGGGAAAAGAAGAGAGAGAGAGAACTGACTGTCACAGTATCACTGCTTTTCTGGCTACGGTGTATAATTGCATCTGCATGAGAATCGTAGTGTTTTGTGTGGTAGGATATTGCATTTGTGTTTGTGTGCTCCTGTTCCTCTCTCATGCCAAGTGCCTGCATTGCAGTCTGCATCTGCATTTTTAGTAGAGCGACAATCAGCACCTAAAACTGTAGCCCCCTCTCTTTTCTTATTCTCACTTCTCTCCCTTTCTCACTCTCACTTTCTCATATTCCTCCCTCATTCACCCACCAGGGGAACTGTGGGAGAGAGATAAGTGCACACACACATATACACACAAGCTCTCACATATACACGCACAACAAAGCAGTTGAGAACTGGAACTGCCTGAGAGTTGTAGCTAAAGAGCTTGTTTTCGGCAGCACTTGTGAGTCCACAGACCACCCTAACACAATCATCCTATTTACTGCTTTAGCATTTCCACATTCATTGTTCTCAGCCTTTTATGTTACTTAGTCTCTTGAGGATTTGTTTGAGGATCTCATTCTGCCCAAAATTGCTTTTCTGTTTCCCCACAGGTTCAAGCAAATCATTCCTAAGCTAGACCCACCCCCTCCGCCAATCAACAGAAAGCGACCAAATAGAACTTTTTCCCCAGGCTCGGAGGCCAACGGCTCCTCCTTCCCCGACATCACTTCCTGTACCATTTCCCCCGGCGACTTCTACTCCCTCAGCAATGGTGGGAGCGCCTCATGTTCGGTCAGTGAGGATTCTGGTGTCCGCTCTGACAACAAGTCCCTCACGTCCCCGCAGCCTGGAGAGGACCCATTTGAGGACCGCAGCTCTGCCCTCCTGTCAACCTCCAGTACCTGCAGCAGTTTACCAGAAGACCGCCCCTTCACTGGTACTCCGCCCCACCTGACCACGCCTAACAGCTTTGAGCACACGCTTCCGTTTTCTTCACCTGTTAACGAGACCTGCCTTCACATCAGCCTGAGTGAGGATGAGCTGCTGGAGGACAGCATTTGTAACCCCTCTATGCCACTTGGGAGTTAGGAGGTTGGGTTAATAGGACCTAAGTAGAGCCCCTGACTTTACTGTGGCCTAGCTGTGGTCTATGAGTTGGGGAACTATGACCATCACACTGAAGAAGAAGGGACTACTACTGCTTCTCTAAGCACTATTTGAGCTGAGTTTTACCAGAGGAGGTTTTGTGATGTAATCAAGAAGGGATTTTATTGGTCCTATGGGATAAAGTGTCTGTGTAATGTCCCTAAATTACTACAGAAAGCCCAGATAGAAACATAGCCTGGACGTGTACGTGAGGATTTTGCAACAAGATCCACATCTAATAACAATAATATTATGCACAGATACGCCTCTTAGCAAGTTTGTTTTTATATTTCCAAAAGGGTAATTTAAGCATGATGGCTTTTACTGAGAGGGTTCCAGGTTCTGAGAATTACAGAAGGTCATTCATGCCAAGCTGGAAAGATACATACTGGGTTAAAATCATGCATTTTGACGGTAATCTCTTAAATTATAGTACATCCCCAGGTAAAACAAATCCAGCTCAAACAGAGCTTAAGACTCTCAAAGTGGAGTAATTTTTACACACTGTGTTATAGTTCCAAAATGGCTAAATCAATACGACTGTCAATTCTTCCCTGCCTTTATTAATGACTCTAATCTTAATGCTTATGTCCCTGTAAGACAGAAGCACCCATTGTCTGCAATATCCTTAAACATTTTTCATGTGCAAATTCAATGGAGAAAGAATTAATGACACTGTGTGGGGTACTGTGGGCTGGATAGATAGAAATATTTTTTTAGAAAGAAAATGGGTAGATGTTATTTTTAGACTGTAATACGTATACCTACATAGACTGCAGTGCCAATCATTTAGGAAAAGAAAGAGTATAGAGTTATATTGGAAAATAGATGTTTACTAGCTGCTACATTATTGTTTTGAGTAGTTCACATGCACCCTGTGAGGTGTTTTTGTGCTCCAATGCTTGCCAAACTGGAAGCATAACTGGAATGAAAATGGTTGTGTTTTGAGAGGAAAGGTATACTCTCCTTTCCTCTATAGAAAATAACAAGCAAACAGTCCTGGGAATAGCTGGAAAGAGTAATGCAAAAGCTTATCAAAAATATATGCAGAAATGTGCAGCAAGGCTGAATGTGGAGATGGAAGAGGAGGCTTAATCAGGAATTCATAAGCAGCGCAAATTGGCACTTGTTTGGTTTGGTTCAAAGAAAGAAAGGATGAGGACTCATACAAGGCACCATGAATGAAAGCATAATTGGGAGCTGAAGAGGTGTGGTAATGACTGAATTTGGTTTATACATCGCACAATGGCAAATTTCCTTGATGACACCTCTGCGATGTCATCATTAGGGAGAACGTAAGGCAGGATCATTATCACATCTTTCTTCCTGAGGGAGGGAGGGGTAGAGAGAGAGAGAGAATCGGAGGGTGAGGTGAATTGATTTACAGGAACCTTCACAAGCTGCTACTTCCTGTAAACATCAAGCTTCTCGATCTCGTGTCAATTGCTTCTCAATTCTCAGTTCCCCCTTCAGCAGAAACGCTGGTTAAACCGCCAAACTCTTCTAACAACACTCCACCTGCTTCTAATGGTTCTGTGCAAGCATATCAAACAAACAAAGAAAGTGAAATCAATTGAGAACCACTGTCGATTCCCCTGTCATAATATTGATACAGCTAACATTGTGGCGCTCTATTGCAACACACATAAAATGACCGGAGATGCACACTTTTGCTGCTGAACAAGACTCTGGGGTTTTCCTTCGCATAGAAGATGTGGCACTTTTACATTTTGATTAAATGAGGTGCACTGTACCGCTGTTACTGTGTGGGAAAACAGGCTTGTGACCTAAAACTGTGAAATAAGCATGAAAAAAACAAGGTTTGTTTACTAGCAATAAGACATAGTGAGGAAAGCATTAGCTCTGTGTACTATGGAACAATGAAGAGGTGTCAGGAGAGAAGCAACGAATACAAGGGTAGAGGTGGATGAAGGAATGAAAACAAAGGGATTAATGGAGGAGCATGGGGTGAGCAGGTGCCTATAGCTGATATCAGCTTGCCTGTCACCCCAGGACAGAAACGGAGATGGAGGTAGAGAAGCAGAGGGGTGTGAAGAGAACATGCAGTGGCACTGTACAGCTGCTTTGTGACAAGGTCTGTTGTAAATCGTGCTACACAGATACAACAGAAATTGACTGAAATGAAGCAATAGATGCACCTTCTGCCAGCAAAACTGAAGAAAACTGAAATAAATTAAATGTTAGTAGCAATTCCCCTTTCCCCATACAGACCTAGCCAGAAACCTAAAGAAGACTTGAAACTGGAAAAATAAAAAAAACTCAGTCAAATAACAGCCTCTATGTTTTATTTCCAAGTGCATGCTGATTTTTCTGTAAGTAATCTCTGCTTTCGGTTTCAGCAATACTGTAATTGTCTTTCAGGTCAGAACCTCCTCTGCTCCTGCTGCATGTATTGCTCTGTAGAGAAGACACTGTCACTATCTTAAACACTCAACCGGGCTCAAGAGTATGATGGCTAACCCCTTCTGCCTAAGGGCATTTTGAAGTGCTTCAGATAAACTGAATATGAATGTGTGAGTTGTAACGAGCTAAGTCAAATGTAAGAAAGCCAAGGTTATACAAGGTGAGCGGACGTCGTCTTCTGCTTTAAGATCAGAAAACGTACATTGTTCTTCCAGTGCTCCTCAGAGAGGGAAATGTGATCACAGCAGCAAAGAAATGGGGGTCAATCTAGAAAACCCAGGCAATCCCTCCCAAGAACTTTGCTTTCGGAGAGGACAAAAGGCCTCTCCCTATGGCCCAGAGAGGCATAGAAGGAGACGGAGGTTCCCCCTTCATCCAATCAATGCAGAGGGATCGTGTTAATCCCCATTTCAGCTTCGCTCCATCTCTGCGCCCCATCCTCCCACTCAGATCCTCTTCATATTGACATGCTGAAGAGTCCATCAATACACATTACCCTGGCCCGGTGAGGAGAGGAAAGGAAAGGAGAAACGGAGAACGTCAGCGAGAGCCTGAGAAAATGGATGGGTTGAATCCTCACTGCTCTTTAAAGAGATTTCCTGTCAGGCAGGGGGAGAGAGGCTAACAGGTCCAAACAAACCTCTGTTAGAGGTAGCTGCAGAAGCTTTGTTAAGAGCATATGGCACCTATGGCCACCTTCCAGTAAATAAGTGAAGAAACAGTGAGTAATGTCTGTCAGTCAAAGTCAATCAATGTCTTCATATCATAATACTGGTGACCAGATTTTGGTATTGTCACAGTATGGTTGAAGGACCCATATCAGGAAAAAAAAATGTCCCACGCATTTTTGAAATAATGTAGTGTAGTATGGAAACACTGTTAAAGTTGCAAAATGTACCATTTATTCCCTAGTCCATACAGTCTGCAGATGGACACGAAGCTATAAAAACATACTATTTTTAATTCCCTGTTTTTGTGATGTCATGAAAACCAACAAATGTACGTATAGCCACCGATTCAGCCTACAGTTTAACCATGTCTGTACACAATCACAAGTGTTTCAGTCTGGACTGCTTTTTGAATATGGCACTATAAAGGGGAACCAATCAGAGCAGGGCTCACCTACATATCTCAGCCTTAAAGGCAGAAAAGTAGCCTTTTTAACTGTACTAGGTGGCACAGTGGCTTCACAGCAAGATGGGCCTGGGTTCGATTCCCCGGGCAGGCGATCAGGGTCCTTTCTGTGTGGAGTTTGCATGGGTTTCCTTTAAGTAGTCCAGTTTCTTCCCAGTTAGGCGAATTGGAGATGATAAATTGCCCCTGGGGCGTGTGCGTATGTCTGTGTTTCTGCCCTGTGATGGACTGGTGACCTGTCCAGGGTGTTTCCTGCCTTCTGCCCAGTGACTGCTTGGGAGGGCTTTCAAAAAGCAGTAATAAACAGTGAAATCAAGTATAATACAGGTTATACTGTTAGGCTTTTTTACTGAATGTTTTGTATTTCTTTATAACAAAAAAATCAAATGCAATTTAAATAAATAATATGACCACCAGCACTAGTACTGTTTACTGTTCAGCTTATAATTATGTAAACATGCGTTGTCCTGGCATGTGCTTGCAGGGAGACTGGAGCAAAAGCTGTTTACTCCCACCATGACTTCCACCAAAATGACAGTAATTGTACAGGGTTAGCAGAATTATTACATTCTAAAACAGTATAATTATTATTGGGTTTCATATCATTAAAACTGGAAATCGTCCCAGCTCTATTTCTTTGGGAACAAGAGCGCTAATAACATATTGAGGCGCTGCTGATGAAGCTTTTACAATCTCTTCCTATATATAGGTTTTACTGGGTGCTTCTTCAACATAGCAATCTACTACAACAAATACTCCTCTAATTTAGTGACCCAGCTTAGCTTCGGTTGCCTCTGCTCTCATAGGAGCTGTGTGAGCTCCAATACACACGTTGTAAAATTGCAGAGTGCTTTGTTGTTGTTTTAATTAATATTGTCATCATGGCTCGCCATCGTGGGCATTCCTTTTTTCCCTCTTTTTAAAATTCTATGTATAATTTATCTGTCTGCCTCCATCTCTTCCTCAGCCTTTTCTCAGTAAAGCATCCATTATCTTGTCTTTTTGATAAGCGAGTTGGAATCTCTTGAAACAACGTTGCTCTTTCCCCATACAGATTTAGCCAGAAGCCTAAAGAGAAGACAGAAATTCCAGCTCTCCGATTTGATGCCCTCCCTCTGTGTTCATGTTCTATAAACGGAATACAGAAGAAGGGGGACCTCTTCTTCTTCCTATCATTTTCCTGCCTCAGAGATTTCAGGGGCTGCATTGCTGCACAGTTAAAGCACCAGAGTGCTCATATGATTCCTACTCTGGTCAGACGAATTCAGTTTACTGTGTAATGCCAAAGATCCAAGTTTACAATAGATTTGTTTAATAGTTTATTCAATTTCCCTGTATTTATTATGGTCTATCTTACGTAATTGAATTTACTGCCTTGCCTTTATTTGTTTAGACATTCATGCCGTGGAAAACGAACGACACCAAGAGCCCTGAGGAGGACAATGATGCAGAGCTACCCTTAGGGAGCAGGAGACTGAGCAGAAGATTAAGGAATTGTTGGAATGGCATGTCCAGCTCAATAGAAACATTCACGGCTGGTGCAGCTTGTCTTCTGGAACCTAAGTTTTGATTCAAGGGACCAGTGCGAGGCATCAGGACTTTCAAAGCCAAGATTATTTCAACGTCAGGGCATATGGCTCAGGGTTAGTGCTTGGAACAATGACTAAAGTTGGGGTTTACCTGCTTCCACCTGTCAAGGAGTTTGGGTGTTCCATTCTCCTGCTTTTTCGCTGTCCAAGGCCAAGGACATTAGCATTACTTGAGACTGGGCGATAAAGCAAAACTATGATATTACTATACAGTTCATTTTATATATACAGTGTGTGTGTGTGTCTGAATATGTACAACAATATATCATTTTTCTGAAGTGTGCTAATGTTTTAGAATAAACAAAATGTCCCAGCAAAACAGTAGTGCCACATTTAAAAAGCAGTTGTGTAAACCTATGAGTACAATTAGGTCTTGGATGAATATGGCATTGCAAAAATAAACTAAAATCTAAAAAGGAATAAAAGGAAAAATCAAACAGTTAAAAAAATAAATAAATGGACTAATGGACTGACATCCAAACAGTTCCTTGTTACTATGCAATTGATGCAGTTATTATACATCGATTGTTGTTTACAGGCTCTCTATAATTGTCCTAAATCTGTTTTTTTAATGATACAAGTACTGACAGTGCACTCAGAGAAGCATATTGTGACGTAATTTATTACAATATTGCCAACATGTTGTAACCTGTAGACGTAATTGTGCAATAAAGCACTTAAGAGCCATTTTAGAGTTTGCTCTCTTCCTAAAGCAGAAGTACTGGACATTACACAAAGGCCAATCAGAGTCAACTTATCAGTAACATTGACACAAAACATTGAACCTCAAATTTATATATATATATATACCACCTCCTTGTTCCTAAACTCATTGTACATTTTATCAGCTCCACTTAACATATAGGTGCGCTTTTCAGTTCTACAATTACAGAATGTAGTTCATCTGTTTCTCTGCATACTTTGTTACCCTGTTCTTTTAATGGTCAGGACCCCCACAGAGCAGGTTTTATTTGGTGGAGTTTTTAAATACCTCAGTGCCACTGCTGGACTGAGAATAGTCCACCAACCAAAAATATCCAGCCCTGTGACCACTGATGAAGGACTAGAGAATGACTAACACAAACTGCAGCAAAAGATGAGCTACTGTCTCTGACATTACATCCACAAGGTGAACCAACAAGACAAGATAAGAGTGTCTAATAGAGTGGACAGTGAGTGCCTGATCCACTCGTACCAGCACAACACACACTAACGCCACGTCACTGTGGTGGGCCTTTGGGGGTCCTGACCATTGAAGAACGGGGTGAAAGGGGGCTAACAAAGTATGCCGAGAAACAGATGGACTACAGTCTGTAATTGTAGAACTACAAAGTGCACCTATATAGTAAGTGGAGCTGATAAAATGGACAATGAGCGTAGAAACAAGGAGGTAGATTTAACGTTACGGCTGATCTGTGTATAACATACAGTATGTAGCAGACGAGGTCAAATCCACAAGTCATGTCAGTTCATTTCCAGACAGTCTGTATTTAGACTTTGTCTGACCTACGCAAACAAAAGTAACCTTTCTTTGCCATTTCACAGAGGGCTACTTTAGGTGTCAGTCTCAATCTCGTCACCTGCAGACCTAAAAGGAAAATGACATAGGCACATCTATTGTGGA